TAAATAAATGCTTTGATATGGGGTCTTAGGCCAGGGACAGATGGCTGGTGTTCAGGGACTTGCAGGAGCTGTGGAAGGAGGTGTGTATCCAAGCCGCTGCAGGAAAAAGAGTTGGACCAGCCTTAAAACATTAGAGCTACTGGTGTGCAGAAGCAGTTGCTCCATTGGGGCAGATTAATTTACATCTCTGTGTTAGATCACTGTTTTCAATCATGATTTAAATGACCAGGCAGGAAATCTGATTTAAGCTGACTTCCCAAGTTTTACATCTGTACTTCAGTTACCTTTCTGAAAGCCTTAGTGTAGTCTGTACCGTCACAGCTACCCGCTGCTAACATAGTGAATATCTCTCGCTATTTAAACAAGCATGCAGTTTACCATTTGCTTTGGTGGTTATATTTTTTCCATTTTCTGTTAAAAAATGATGAATGGTGCTTTTCTTTGATTAATTTTTAACTTCTGATTTTGATCAGGCTACATTTGGATGGAAATTGGAATCCAACTAATGAACAAAACCAGCATTTAAAATTGTTTTCAGTAGTTAAATGCTCTGCGTATAGACGAAAATCTCTTATCAAGCCTGTTTTGTGTTTAAAGCATACTGATTTTTGTAGAAACAAAGCAAGTATTATCTGCCGTTTATGAACAGAATTAATTTTTTCTGGCCACCATGCTCTTCAAGAGTCTGTTTCTTAGAACTAAGTAATCTCGGTGTCTGAATCTTAGTTTCTTAAAATTAAAAAAAAGAGAGCGTTCCAGAAACCAAGCTCTCCATCTGAGTGAACATCAGGCTGATGTCTAACTGTGTGCCACAGCTACAGGAGACAGAAACTTCTCTCCCCAAAGCCATATTCGTCAAGCATATGCAGGCTTCCCACCCCGCTGCCCAGAAGAGTATGTAGCTTGCTTTACGCTGTTTGAACCTGTTCAGTGTTAAAGTGGACTAGTCCTGGGCCCATCCCCACAAATATTGCTAGGGCAGAAGAGGTGGTCTGTGCATCACAGACCTCCGAGACAGTTATTCACGAGTTAGGGTGGACATATGGACCATACAGCTTGAAGAACTGAGGTTACTATTTTAAAGATTTTTTTTTTTTTTTTCTGCATTTCTGTCAGTTCCTAGGGCTGGGCTGGTCTTGAACAAACTATTTTCTTATGTGAAGGGAAAATGAAGTGAATGGAGAAGAGGACAAAATTGCACAGAATTCTTCCTGTACCGGAGACCGTACTGCTGTCAAAAATTAGTTGATGACTAATTCCATGACTTAATGAACTTTAAAATGTCATTAACAAATGCACACTAACATTTAGACTGAAAAGCATTTACATTTATAACTATACAGTTCAGACCCTTAAAATTATGAAGTTAAAAAGATGAACCGCAGGATGCTCTCTAAAGTCATTACAGACAGATATTTTCCAAGATATATATATATATATATACATGTATATATTTTAGTTTTTAAATTTTAAGTATATATTTAAGCAAACTTGGCCTTGTTAAGGGAGTGAATGTTGAAGCTCAGACTTCACACAGTGGGAAATTAGTTCCCTAAATTTAGTGCTTCTAACATATGTTTAAGACCTAGGAATCTATTTCTGACATAACTCCTGCTAGAAGTTCCTGGAAAGCTCTATGACTTATGTGGCATGGCATGGGGAAGATTAAATTATAGTTGATTTTCTTTCATCCTAAGATCTCCAGAAGCATCTGTAAGATTGATGGGTGGTGTAGTCATTGCATTACGTTTTGATGTGTTTCTTTTGGAAGATAGTCTTCCAGTAAATACAAAAGGATTTTTAAATTATTGTGGGTAAGGAGGTGGACAGATAATTAATTGAACTTGGTGTTATGATACTCTCTTGAAAGTCTTAGCTAGACTTGATTTCTGCCAGAAGGAAAAAAAAAAAGAGTTTTTGTTTTTGATGTTCATGCTTTAAAGCAAATCAAAGAATATGGGGGTTTTTTTGAGTGGTTAAAAATCAGTGTGGGTAAGGAAATGGACATAATTTCTCTAAATCCTGCATGATGTTATACTGGAGATGAATTTGGTTATGCATATGTGCCAATATGTTTCTGCAGACAAGAATTCGAAAAATGACAATGTATAAACAGTTCAGTATTGACAGATTGTCTACTGTTCCTCAATAAACATATATCACTATTACACCACAGTGGAAGTTTAACATTAAAGAACCTCACATAAAAAAAAATTTTAAAAATTTCAGAAAAAAGAAGCTGAAACGTATCAATAAGTCAAAATTATGAGGAGGGATGGGGGGAGACCGCTACAGTGAGCTGACTGTACAGTTGGGAAGACACATGTACATCTCCTGTCTTTCATGGCCTTTACCCATGTTTCTTGTTTAAGGGTGAGGCAGCAGAAAGGAATTTCAGTGGTGAATTGAATCTAGCCAAGGAAGTGGCTTGAAATCAAGCTTTGGGAAGAAGAGGGGAAAATTGTGCTGCAGGCAGAGGGGCAACAGAGGGAAGGCAGGAAATATCTGCAAACAAAAGTAATAGTTTGATTTGTTTCTGTGGTACAGAAAGGTGTCTGGAGGTGGATTTAGGTAGAAGCTGTGTAAATTCTTGAATATCAAGTCAAGTTACATGTTTGATTTGTAGAAGTGTGGTATGAATTAGCAAGAAAGTTTGTGTGTGTTACCTCAAACTTTAGCTGCAAGAGAGTGGCTGGACTTGTATGTGGGAGAGAAAACTCTGACAGTGGACTTTGGCAGGAGCTGGAGCATGTGTGGATGATTGAAGGTCGGGGTCAAGGAGATGAGCGAGCAAGGGGTGGCCAAGCTGTCTGCACCTGGATTGGAAAGAGAGGTTGCCTCTACACCCAGTGTAGTCAGTATGGGTCCTTGCAACAAAACGTGAAAAAATCCAAATATCTCCTGAATTTGTATCCATTTAGAAACAGTTTTCTGAAGTGGTGAGATCAACCAAGCACCTACAGTAGCATTTCCAAATTACTGTCAATCTTGCTGGATTCATGACGAACATGTAAAAGGATTTGCTATGAGTACTCACAGGATGTTTGTAATAGTAAGAGGAGAAAATGAGTAATCTTCTGGGAAGCTGTTTAACATATCTACTGAAGTGACTGGTATCTTTCATTAAAAATATGTAGTTTCAGGGCGTAGTTTTAAGATCATTTCAAACTGATCTGTAGGCAGATTAAAAGGGGTGTTCCTACCTTTTCCTATGCCCTGACCTAATTGTTGTTGCTGCCTCCCTTGTCCCAGGGATGCTGCTTTTGTGGCTTTCTGGTTGTTTGGGTCAGGGACCCACTGCCTGTGTTAAAAATCAGCTGGAGCTGCAATCCTGCTGGCCACAAAGCACGCAGGGCAGTGGGGAGGCTGGGTGTGGAGGGCTGCAACCTGTCCAGGTAAAAAAACGCGGGCTTACATCAGCATACACTGACTGTGAATCCTGGTGCCTTGTATGTGTGAAAACACAGGGTAAATTGTGTAACTGTTGCGATCACCTAAAGCGACTGGCAGAATGTGTTTCTATTCCCAATATCCTATTTTGGGGTTTCTTCACCTGGTACATGGAACTGTGCCTGGAATTTGTTTTCCCTGAGGTTACAGTTGATTTCAGTTTACCAAAAATAAAGTGGTAAAACTTGGAAACAAGCTTTTTGTTCTCATTTGTTTACGGTTAATGCACTGGGACTTTGCTTCCCCTTGAAAGAAGTTACCGAAATTTAAAAATCAGTGGAGATAGGGTTGGGTGTTTTTTTTTTTAGGATTGCAGATGCTTTTTGCTTTGCGTTGCATAAAACTTATCTTCTTCTGAAAATATACCAGGAAAAGCTGCTTTGGTGAGCTCCCGTGTGTGGGCCTGTATCCCTACCAAAATACGCAAGAGAGCAAAGCTAGATGAGCACGGTTGATCCCATGTGCTCTGCTTGCTGGTGCTCGGGCTGGTCTGCACGGTGGGCCCTGAGGAAGCGCGGATGATGATGGCTGCAGTGTCTTCAAGCACCTCTATGGGAAAAGGGCTTGTTCGCTTTCTCTTATTGAGGATGAATGAAACAAATTTTGGAAATATTTAAGGGGGCTACAGAATAAGCAATGCTTTAAAAGGAGTCTTAAACAACTCCTAGTTTGAGGAAAGGCTTGTGTGAAATGCTTTTAAGAAGTAACCCTGACATAAGTGGATGAATTCATGGTACGGCAGTGCGGTGGGTATTTGGTGGTACTCCGTTAGCCACTTGTGGCATTCGTAACCCTGTGGTTTGATCATTGCTGTGCAGCATGTACGGAGGATCTCAAGGGTTACGTTGCACTCTCCAGCTGGGGCGTCTCGCCGAAAGCAATAGACAGCTGCAGTGGTGCCTGATATCCAGTGGTCGCAATGTTAGGGTCCTCTCACTTCTAAAAGTGCCTAATCTGTAATTTACTAGCCTGCTCGGGGCCTGTTGCCAGGGCTCCAACTGTTGCACAACGTTACACAGGAGGAATCGCTGGCAGTTTTCAAGCTGGCTATCATTCCAGATCACTCCCACACAAAGGAAACTGTAGCGTATATGTAGCTTTGAGGCCTTTCGTGCTGCTCTCAGCACAACCTAAAATTAAAAAAATAACTAGGAAAACTAGAAAGCATTTGCTTGCTCAGGCTGTAGCCCCTCCGCTTGTAGCAGCCTCATCTGCAGAGTCCTGCATGTGGAAGCGCAGCCAGACAGTGACAGGTAAGAGTGAAAGCCTCATGACGAAGAAACACTTTGATGGTTTTTTAAAACTTTCAGTGTTCAAAGTGCAACTATTTTATAAAAGATGAAAGAATCCTCTTTTGGCTCAAACTGTTCTTTCACGTTCTGTGAATTTCGTGATTCCCAGAAAAAGCTAGACCCTTAATATTCCGACATCACAGGGCATCATAAGATTTCCCCCTCATTTCCATGCATGCCTGTTCCCTACCCATTTTCCTGTCAGTCTGATTCGTAATGTTCAAAAACATTCACTGCATATTTCCTTCTTCCCCACAGCAACAGCCCGAGTCTGAGACTGTTCATCTGTTCATCCCAGCCTTGGCAGTTGGAGCTATTATTGGCAAGCAGGGACAGCACATCAAACAACTTTCTCGTTTTGCAGGCGCATCTATTAAGGTATTATTACACTGACTAACTTTCTGTCTGTTCTACATGACACTTTCGGCAAGTTTGCACAAGCTGTGTTTTTGTGAATGTCCTCCCCCACTCCGTGCTTAGAATGTGATGTGATAAATGGTACACTTGTTTATAAATCATCTTTTAATCTTCCTTGAGACAAGATAATTAGAAGCATGTTTTCAAACGTCTCCTGAGGTGTGAAATATAAGCTGCAAAGAAAACTACTTTGGTGGTCTTGATTTCTTAGAAACAGACTTAAGTCTTAATGATGCACTGCTTAAAGGCTTTCTGCTTGTTTTTGGTCAAGTGAAAATTCGTGAGGTAAATTCTCCTTCTAAAACCAGCAGCACAGGTGAAGTCTCCCACCACTGTGGCTGCTCTTGCTTTGCTCCAGATGGATCAGTCTGGGCTGTGAGGCTCGGATAGCTCCAGGCTGAAGCATTTGTGTTTTAAAATCACCCATGTACTCCAGGCTCCTGGGGTTGGTCGGTTCTTTAACACCATGTTTATCTCGGCACCCTCCTTTAACATCCAGCTATTTGTGTGTTGACTGCCTCAATGCTGCTAAGAACAAGATGGTTTGCAGAGGTCGAACTAATGGAAGTATAAGTTTGAATTTTAGCCAATTTGGTGAAATTCTCATTGGCTGTTTATAGGCATTAGTACCAGTTGCAGTTGAGGGAAGGCCTTGGGTTTCTGCTACTAATGCCATGAAAATCACAAGTATCTTCTCTAGATGCTTGAACTTTTTTCTTGTAAACAGCCAGTTCTGCTATTCTCTGCTGTAAAGATAATGTTTTGGCCTAAATTTTGAAAGGGGGTGTGGGGTGGGAAGTGCAAAGTGTGGCTTTATGTGCTGTTACACCAACATTTTCCTGCACAGATGAAGCAAACATCATCATCTCAATTCTCCTTGCTCGGGATGTGTGGCCTGTTTAATGAGTGCTATGGAGCAGGGATCTGCCCCTGGTTGGGGCAGTTCAGGGGCAGAGCGGGCAGGAACTGGCTATGCTGAGTTGAATTTGGTGAAGCTAGCGAAGGTTGTCATGGCTTGGACTGTTTTCATCTAAGTGTGCAGAGCAAAATAATTGGGGAACCCTGATGAATGAGTGCTGTGTGTGGTTTGCTGAATGCTGATGCATTTAGTGGCCAGTCAGTCCACTGGCACGCTGCCCAATTCCATCCTTTAATGAGCAGTACATTAAATAGTTGTTATGCTACCCAGTTGGTTTACATTTGTAGAGCACTAAAAATCGTATTTTTAGAGGAAAAAATGGAATAGAAGGAAGTGAGAGGTGTTGATTTCTCTTTATCAAATCTGTCTTGCATGGAGGTGTGATGTACCATGTGTATTTCCTCTTCCTCTCTCCATTCCTGTCATTTGTACCTAAGGATTAAGTGGTATATGGAAGGTACTGCTTGGTGGAGAGAGAAATGTGAAGTAACCTGGACCTCCAAGAACCCGTCCATACTAGTCTTTACTTAGTCCTTGGAAGATAGTTTAGTGGAAAGGGAGTTTCCCGTGTTTCTCATGCATCTGGCTAACAGTGGCCTCAGGCTTCCTCTACTGGCTGGCACCCCTCTATCCAACACATTTAACATATCTGGATTAATTGAAATTCAGTTAGAAGTTTGCTAAGGCTACAGAGTATGGTTGCTAAATTGGGAAGTTGCACGTATGTTCATCAATTAAAATAAAAATGCAAATTCATCTGTAATCTAACTGAACAACATGGTGCAGCACGCTTGCTTCGGTGTGAAAGTAAGTGTTCAATGTGACAGTAGTAATTTAGTCAAAACTTCTGAACTTCCCTTGTGTTGACCACCTGCATATTATCGTAACTTTTGGGCAAAATAACAAAATGTGAATCATCAAAGAATCTGTGCTTTTTGCTAAGAGTTGGAGGGAGCACTGCCTGGGTAACTTTTAACTTGCCAAACTGTAGTAATGGTACTTTGTGTGTGGAGGAAGTAAGTCTTTGTGCATGACATGCTGCACTTGTTTGGAGTTGTGCTAAAGATTGTTACAGATGAAAACATTTCACATCCACGTGCGTCTTGTTTGTGCAAGAAAGAAAAAAAGGGCAAGAAGGAGGACCCAGGGAACTATAGGCTGGTCAGCCTCACCTCCATCCCGGGAAAGGTGATGGAGCAGCTCATCCTGGAGGTCATCATCAAGCAAGTGGAGGAAAAGAAGGTTCTCAAGAGTAGTCAGCATGGATTCACCAAGGGGAAATCATGCCTGACCAATCTGATAGCTTTCTACGATGACATGACTGGCTGGGTAGATGAGGGGAGATCCGTGGATGTTGTCTACCTAGACTTCAGCAAGGCTTTCGACACAGTCTCCCATAATATCCTCCTAGGGAAGCTCAGGAAGTATGGGCTGGATGAGTGGTCCGTGAGGTGGATTGAGAATTGGCTGAATGGCAGAACTCAGAGGGTTGTCATCAGCAGCGCTGAGTCTAGTTGGAGGCTGGTAACTAGTGGTGTCCCCCAGGGGTCAGTACTGGGCCCAGCCTTGTTCAGCTTCTTCATCAACGACCTGGATGAAGAGTTAGAATGTACCCTCAGCAAGTTTGTTGATGACACCAAACTGGGAGGTGTGGTAGATACACCAGAAGGTTGTGCTGCCATTCAGCGTGACCTGGACAGGCTGGAAAGTTGGGCAGAGAGGAACCTGATAAGGTTCAACAAAGGCAAATGTAGGGTCCTGCACCTGGGGAGGAACAACCCCATGCATCAGTACAGGCTTGGGGCAGACCTGCTGGGGAGCAGTCCTGTGTCCAGTTCTGGGCTCCCCAGTTCAAGAAAGATGAAGGGCTACTGGAGAGAGTCCAGCGGAGGGCTGCAAGGATGGTGAGGGGACTGGAGCATCTCTCCTACGAGGAAAGGCTGAGGGAGCTGGGCTTGTTCAGCCTGAAGAGAAGGCTGCGAGAGGACCTTATAAATGCTTACAAATATCTTAAGAGTGGGTGTCAGGAGGATGAGGCCAGACTCTTTTCAGTGGTGCCCAGTGACAGGACAAGGGGCAACGGGCACATTCTGAAGCACAGGAAGTTCCGTCTGAACATGAGGAAGAACTTCTTCCCTCTGAGGGTGACGGAGCACTGGAACAGGCTGCCCAGGGAGGTTGTGGAGTCTCCTTCTCTGGAGATATTCAAGACCTGCCTGGACAAGGTCCTGTGCAGCCTGCTGTAGGTGACCCTGCTTCGGCAGGAGGGTTGGACTAGATGACCCACAGAGGTCCCTTCCAACCACTACCATTCTGTGATTCTGTGATTCATGATGAGCTTTGTAGCTCTGATGAAACTCCTTAGCCACGAAGGATGACTGAATAAACTGCAGAAGCACAGGGGTTCTGCCCATAGGTTTTGGGTGTATGAAGTTGTCAGCTTGTGACTTGGCATATGGAAGACCAGTTGCTTTCTGGTTAGGAATGTAAAACTATTTCTCTCAGAAGTTAAAAGTTCACCATTTAGAGACTATTTGTATGTGTATAACTTCTTCCAGAAACAGACAGACAAAATTAACTAAGTCTCTCAGGTTGGCCCTTCTGACATTGAAATGTTGGTTGGTACATGTTTCTTTCACAGCCCTCAGCCATGTTTTACTCCAGCTGCTGAGAACAGGGCATTCTAAGATCAAAGCAAAGCGAGAAATGTCCCAGAACACATGTAGAAAGGATGCAAAGGTCCCATTTAAACACGTGTAACGAAGGCTTGATGGAAGATACATTTTTCCTAAAATATCAGTCAAGGCACTGGTGTTCACTACAGGACCATGAGGTGACTGAGAGGCAAACTACAATGTCTAGTATACATTAATGGCAATTATCAGGCTGAGATCTCTTTAGTCGGCTGCCTGCAAATGTGCCTCAAAATTTTGCTCCTCTAAAATACTTGTGTTCCAAGGACTGAATGGATTTAGACTGTGCTTGCCCTTACTTACCACAACGTCATGTCATACAAATGTACTGCTGTAAAATGAGTGTGTATTTTTAGATATAGCCAACTGGAACACAGAAATCATATGAAAAATAAATATGCAAACCAGATAACTAGTATGTAATGCCCTCTCCATCTTAGGGTACAATATGAATAATTATATAAACTCTGGTTAGCAAAATTCTTTAGTGAAAATGATGCATGGTGACTGGTAATTTGTCTGAAATCAACTACAGCTGTTAAATATGAATAACATCCCTATGCCAACAGCTAAGATGAAATCCTGTAGTGTTTAATATATTGCCCGTTCAACAGCAGCTATGTAATACTAGATGCAACAATGGAAATGTCAGTTGTGATAAACAAAAGATTCATCCAGAATGTCAGAGGCTAGTTTGAATTATTTAATGCCACTGGAGTCTGAGAACAACACCCACAGAAATCTTACTTTTGTGGTGACATGAACTGCTAAAGACCCTACAGGCGTCTCTGCTCAGCTCTGATGGAGCTTAATTTTTATTTGTGTGACCCAAATAAGTGTCTGTAGATACAAACCCCTTGGAAACTGCGAGCTCATTGTCCAGTATAGAGGAATGTTTTGGATCTGGTTAGTTACAACAGTAAGGTGATCCTCTGCTCTCAGGGTGATGAATGCAAACTCATTCTAATGAGCAAAACCTGTTATAAAGACCATTTAAGTTACTGGGTAGGGATGAGAACCTCGGTCTTTTTGAAGACTACATGTCTTACATCACTCATAGTCACATGAAAATGCCTTGTGGGACTTTGCCATATGTGGATGAGTAGCTATGCCTTTAATTTTCAGAAGTAACTTTGCTTATGGTTTAGCCAATTTCTCCGTATTTCATTATAGCTAATTAATGCACTTTAAAGAGAACAAACCCGTCATGACTGAAGTGTAATGCCGCTGCTGTAATGAATAATTTTTCACTCTTGAACAGAATGTGAGACTGAAACAGGGAGGAGGTGGTTTTAAAATATTCCTTCAA